AGCTTAACAGTCCTTCAATTTCTTGCAGCCATCATAAATCCTCCTTCAGCCCAAACGCCTACCATCTTTTAATGTCTTTAGAGTCAGATGAGTAGTGAGGCACAGGGACTACGCAGAAATATCGCAAAACATGATGGGCCTCAGCACTTGACTCTTTCACTAACTTCAGACTGACCGCAATAAGTTCAGGCCGCTTGAAAGAATAGTGGAGAAGCAGAGCAGTCATAAGGACAGATGTCAGAGGAGCATCAGAAGAGAAGTCCCTCTGCTCCTCTTGCACACAGTTTACAGCAGCCTGATCACAATGAGAACAACGCTTGGAGTTCTCTCCCAAACATCCACTGAGGCAGAAGGGCTTGCCATGGCACAGCCCTACTGCCAAAGCATTATGCTTTGCAACTGCTTCTACTTTGGTATCTCTGGTCCACTAGAACTGAATTTTCCTCAAGTCTCTTTTGCCTTTACATTGTCCCAGGTTCATTTTTTGTTCTCTCTTCCCCCAACCCAATTTTTTCCTGCTATTATTCTACAATTCTCCTTTCCTTGCTTCTCCACTTTGGGATTTCTCTTCATTCTTACTGCTCTTCTCTTTCTACATCTTTGCACTCAGCCTCCTGCTCCCCAACCTCACTTCTTTCCCTTTTGCTCCAAATCTTGCATCTCATCATCCTCCCTTTCGTTCCTGGCCCACTTACACAATCCTCTTATTTCTAATAACAAAGAATTCAAATAACACCTGGATTTCAAATAACACCTTTCAGTTCACAGTACCGTACCAAATATACATAGGGATATCAAATAGAGTAGAAAAACAAGCCCTAATCACAGAGCTATGCCAAGGAAGAAGAGAGTGAGTTTGTCAGCCATGGATAGCTGGAATGCATTGGGGCACTATCCTGCATCATGCATATATATTATCCCACACACAGCCTCCTCACCTTCACTAATTTTGTGAGCGACACCTAACTGTGGCACCTCTAGCCTGTGCAAGCAGGACCTATCATTCCTGGTGGAAACACCCAGGCAAAAATGGACAGGGAGTAAAGGCAGAGGCCAATTTAAATATTAGCTATTGCTCCTTCAGGTTATGGGTAAAGTGACAGAAAAATAACCTATTCCCCTTAGGTACCAGCAATGGCAAGATAATATTTTCAGTAAACAGAGCTATAGGCAGGAGTGGCTAAGTCTGCTTTGCAAATGACAGCTAACAGCGTAGAAAGGATTCAGTTTTGTTTTTGGCATCTTTTGGCTACAGAGATTAACATCCGGAGAAGGCTCAGCTCCTGAAGTGTTTTTAACCTGCAGCTGAGAGTAATTCCACACTTTCCACTATCCTTGACTATGGTAATGATAGCTTATCTAGAAAAATGACAATATTCGAGCAAGTATAACAAAGCCAAATATATTCTAAGAAGCAGTATCTCACTATCTTAATTAAGCAATTTTGTTTTTAAGAAAAGCTACTTAGGAAATATGTAAGCTCTATTACCTTAATTGGAAGTGTACTGGCAAATTAGAATGAAAAAATTTCTTGTCAAAAACTCAGTAGCACAGGGTTGTCAATACCATAAACAGTGAACTGAATCCTTCCTGCACAAAGGCATCATTCAGGGAATGGTCAAGGCTCCTCCATTTTATTCCCGTCTTGTTTGTTAGAATGAACTGCCTGCTACGTTTTGTAATCTATTTTGTGTAAAAGTTAGGATGTTGGCTCTTCACTCAAATTTCAACACGAAAGATAAGCAGCTTGCTTTTTTTTTTTTTTCCACTGACCCGTGTCCTTGGACTTACCTCACTCCGATAGCTAATAGTTAACATCTCCATCAGCACAGCTCTGAGTCATTAGAAAACACAAACCAATCACTTCATTAAAAGGTAGTCACTAGGAAATTCTGTTGTTAAATCTTCCTTCATCTTAGCGATAGAGAATTACTGCTGGCACCGATTGGGAATAAGAATAATTATTACTGGGTATAAGAATAATATGAATGTAATAGAAATCTGACAGTAGCACATCAAAAAATGTGAATGTACAGCCTGAAGAAAATCACCAATTGAAAAGAAAGATTCCAAGCTAGGAGGAGATGCCTTAGGAGTCCCACAAGCATATGACCAAGGGTTATTGCCTACTACAGGTACAGACCATCAAGCATTTTGGACAATATTTGGCAACCCACATTCAAGCTCAGTTTGAAGGACAGGACTCACGACTACAAGGTTATCTTCATTACCATGCCGTAATTAATCTTTGGAGAGAGAGGGAAGCGGGAGTAGAGGATAATAATACAACTCACTTTTATTTTCATGAGATCTGCTATTCTATCAGGACAAAATACCCAATATTACAAGAACAGAGCTATTTCATAGTTTATATGTAATACCGAAAGCACTAGCTTCAGCTGAAACACAAACAGCAGGTAAAGGAGAGCAGAACTAACCACCTGTGAGTATAATATATGAATGCAGCCTTGCAAATGGAAAACGAAAATGAACAGCCTTGCAAATCTAAATACAGAAACTGATGATTCATAACTGAAGCTGTTTGAATTCACCATCTGTTTCTGACAGCATTTAAATGCTTTAAGGCATTAGTATAGTTACCATGTTTACCAAGAGCCAAATACCACAGTGATGGTATATGTTGGATATATCATAATTTGATGATTAACCAGAAAGTGAGTTATTTTTTCTAAAACAGGTATCTATTCTACGATTATCCATTTCTCAAGTGTGAAATTTTCAACAAGTAGGAACATCTTGAATGAAGTTTGTTTGTCCTGGCAGTTAAATACAGATGCAAAAGATTATTTGCATAAATTTTTCTTAGGATTATTATTACTATTATTATTATTAGGCTGTACCTAACGTCTGTGCCTAAAACTCTTGGACAAGTCTGCCTAGAACCTAGGTACATACGGTAACAATTTGGACAAGTGACACCTTCTGTTTTTTAAATGAGTACAAGTCTTCTAACTGCAGCAGTACAGTACTTAGTCATCCAAAAAAGGAATAATTCTAATTGATTTCAATGGATTTGAATTAAAATCCTAGTTGAAAAATCTAGCAAAGCACATAGATTTGGAAGCCTAGGCCCAACTGGTCATCTACAAATGTAAGAAGGGTATTCATGATCTAAAAAAAAAAAAAAAAAAAAAAGGGCAGAAGATGAGAATGCAAAAAGTAAATATCATGAATGGCTTTGAATATTTTATGATATACAAAAGCCTAAAGGACATGAACAAGAAAAATAACAATAATCAAATACGAGCATCACTTTGGAAGAGAATCTACTAATCCATACTTATTTACATACAAAATAACTAATTCTTTGTGAGTGTAAGGTAAATTCATTTCGTAACTTCTAAGCCTCACACGAATACTAAAAGTTTCGATAAAAGCACAAAATATACATATGCTTATGAAACAAAGTGATTTTTTTTCACACTATATGACACCTTCAGGATACAGTCTTGCCACATAATGCCTGTAACTGCCAGTGTAATCTTTCATGTGGAAAACGATCTCTGAATCTATCCCAATCTATCTTTATATGCGGAAAAAATGTATACAAAGAGCAGAGGAAGAGCTGTATTTCATCTTTTACTTACTGCAATTCCTTTAGAAGGTGTAAATGATACAAGGAGGTAAGTAGTAGCAGAAATTTATGTAAATATGTTCCAAATACATGTCAGCTAGACTAGGTGTAGCTTGATGTTCTACGTTGATCTCTTAACTCCTACTTTACCTCACAAAGCATGCTGCATTTCAGTCATTTGTAAAAGTATTTTTTTTAATATGCTCTGGGAACCCTCTAGATCTGAAACAAAATATCAATATAAATAATCCCCTTGTGTAGTTCTGCAAAACACTGGGATATCAAATTAAAGAATATGTTGTTGATAATTCAGTATGCTACGTTGGTAACACGATATGGAAACATCCAGTATCTCCTTGGCTTTATAAAAGTACAAAAGTTTCTTGAAATGTAATCATGGCGAATACTTTGCAGCATTCTAATTAACAGTAGAAGACAATTGTGAATTCTGTTCCGATTTAGTTAATACTTTTACTGACTTTGCAAGTCATGATTCGATCCTTGATAAAGGAAACCAAATGGAGTGATCAGGGAAGTCAGCGGAAAGGCTATTAATTCAGTGTTTTGCATCTACACAGAAATCAAAAGACAGAAAGCAGGAGCTGTTTTTCTCTTACTGCCTGTCCTGGGGCCTACCTGCCGCTCTTTTTACTGTGCTTTTAAATTGCAGTGACTCAGAGTAACCTTTCTACTGATTTTTCACATGTTCAACAGTTATCAGCGTACATGGCTTGCTTATACAATTATAGGGAATCAAAACCAATGCTATCCTTCCTCAGAACACAGGAAATGGGAGAGCAAATGAAATATTTTCATGCTTTATGAATATATTTCTCTTGGTGCTCTTATCCCTTCTACATTGCCTGAGGCAAAGCTCATATGGCTCCCTTCTGCATCTGTGTATAAGCCAGCTGTAGTCTGAGGCTCTTTAGTCAACTATCTGAAGTCAGCCTATGTCTATTTAACAAAATGTGTGAGCACTTACCAGGTTCCTGCAGCTACTGGGAAGATGACTAACAATCCTGACAGCTTGGCTGTTAGTTTTTTAATTACAGACAAACCCTGTACTATCGAGCAGAGCAAATGAGGATCCAGATGCCTTGCTGCTTTTGCATCAGGTTCTTCTGAGACAGGATTAACCACCTCCTTGGGAAATGGTTGCTGCACTGATATACCACGGTTAACCAGGTGTCCCACAGCTTTAGATTGATACTCAGTGAGCTTTTCTTTTCTTCCAGCACTTCTCTCATGAGAGCTGAGCCAACCAAAGTGCACAACTTCATCAGAGCTACAAGATGACAAATACTTGTTTATATCCCTCACCCAACCCTAAGCTTTGCCTGATTCTAGACATAGGCTTACCACTGAAGGTTTCTCATGCGAAGATTTTTGGTTTCCTTTGCAGGTACATGGCCATTATCGATCCCCTGAAACCGAGACTCTCTGCAACTGCTACCAAGGTGGTCATTGGAAGCATATGGATTTCAGCTGTTCTGCTGGCCTTTCCCCAGTGTCTCTACTCCATAACTAAGGTGATGCCTGGGAGAACTCTTTGCTATGTAGCATGGCCAGGTGGTCCAAAACAGCATTTTACGTAAGCTTTTGTTCTTTTAAATTTGTGCATGGTGATGTCTACACTTGCAATGTACTTAACAAAAGCTGTAGAGTATCATGCAGATATTACACATGCAGATTAACTACTTCAGCACTGACCAGAGATGTAAAGCAGACCTAGGAAGATAGCGCACTTAAACGATAAGTGGAAACGATAAGTGGAACTATTTATTCTCTTCAATTTCTGTAAGTATTTTCTGTCCCATGCTGCACGTTTACCATCATTGCTTAAGACAGCTACTTCGGTACAGGACACACGCGTTCAGAAACGGGGACAGAACATGGAGTTTAAAGCAAGCTTCTAGTTCATACTAACCAGGAAAACAAGCATTTTCTGCCTCTCCTTGACCTAATGTGAAATTTTCCACTGTATCTCTTTGTGAGAGGGTTGGATTTTCCCACTTCATTCTATTACACTACCACAGTTACCTTAAATATCTGTTTGAATAAAAGATTTACCAAACCTGTAATCAAGTTCCAGCTTTTGAAAGTGCAGAACAACCATCAGTTAAATTCAATATATCCTAGTTGTCCCTCTGGCAGAATTAGGAACAAGTGGTTACTTAGCCACAGAATTATTTCCTCTTTCATGTCTTTGTTGGCACTAAGGATGAACTCTGCGTCCAAGGCTTAAAAACTGTGCAAACATCTAGCATCACATTTGACATTCTCTCTTTCAAGCAGGTGAAAGAGGCTCTGACGATAAATGATTTTTATCGCTTTAGGAGCCATCCACAAACATTTCTTTTTAGGGCAGTAAGGTCACTCTTAGTGACGACTGGGGATTCTTCACTGATCGTTCACTAGCATTTTATCTGAAGATAATGCCATCCGAAGATGGCATTTAACCAGCAACTAACAGTAAGAAAAAGCAGTCCCTTTCCCCCCCCCCCCCCCCCCCCCCCACGCGGGGAGAGAAATGCCCAAAC